TTTGACATTTTATTGCACGTTTTGGGGTTCATTTGCAGTGGATCACGACGAAAACAATTACTTGATGATTGACTGATGCATGTAATCAAAATGTCAAATGTACCATAGCCTATAATTCACTTTAACCAAACAAAATGCGACATTCCGAGCTACTACTGACTGGCATAGACTATTGTTGGCCGCCGTTCATAAATCTGTACCACCATGAATAGTCATAGATATCAAAATGTTGGCAGGAAGACCTGTTTATTAGTACGGGTCATTGGGAATTCATGATCGGTTTAAAAGACATTTTGTAATTGATTGAGGGATATGCGAAATCCGTTAAAAAGGGAGAGAGTACTATCGCCTAACAATGGAATCACATGACAAACTGGCTAAAGTTCATGAACCCGGAAATAACTCGAGATTTATATGAAATATGTCGCACTGTGGTTGGCGTCTTTTCCTGGTGGTTCATCTATTTTACCTTAATCGTGAGTAAATTATACATGATTCTGTATGTGGTGACTGGTTTAAGCTTTGTAATTTGAGTGCGCCATTGATGTACTAATGTACACATAAATGTACACTCAGATCCGTTTACTAGTACTCTCATAACTACGGCTTGCTCACTTACACACTCATATCTTAATACGTATGAACGTACCTAACCACACATCTACTGTTTCAGGTGTTTGTGTTGCTGAGTTCCAGTTAGTAACTAATCCAAGACACACTGGTACAATAGGTGAATCTGTTGTATTACAATGTACCTATAGTGATTCACTGGATTCATCAGATACATTAATACAATGGACAACCAACGGTGGACAAACTGCTGTATACACCAAATTTGGTGATAATCCTGGACAAGCAGGTGTTGAATATGTAGGAAGGACATCGTTATCTGGTTCGGATGCATCATTACAAATCAATAATTTATCAGTTGATGATGAAAAGATATATAAGTGTTCTGTTAATAAAATCAGTACCGGTACTGATCAAATATCGTCAAATATCCACAGAACTTGTCGTAAAGTGTAAGTATTATATTGATAACAATGAATGCCTTCATTGTAGTCTCGTCATAACTGAAATTCTAAGGTAGTTAATAGCTGGCCTTGCCTCTGTTAGGTAGAGCTTGCATTGTACTGTATTTAATCAGGCCAGTTATACTTTAAATAATTTATATTTGCTCTGTTAGAAATACTTAATGGCAAATGTATCTATGGTCAAAATAAGTAATATATTAATCATCAACTTCTTGTTAAAAACCGCATGTCTGATTGCGTTGATACTATACATATAGGTACCTCAGGTAGACCTTTCTCAGATGTGCCCATTTTCTCCAGTTCTTTAATTGAAATGTGCATTGCTAACAGCGGAGCTATTTCAGCCGAGATCCTGCTTGTTTTGCTCAGTTTTGCATTTTTTTTTAATTCTTTTTCAAAACTGCCTGCCAGGTTGCTTTGAGATTCATAATGTAGGCACATGGACTGGTCCTCTTTCAAATTTGTTCATTTGGTAGAGATATCTCTATGTTTTGAAAGTTATGATTTTTTTGTGTGAATACATAGACTGTAATAGACAAGTGTATTGTTGGGTTCTGAACTACCAGGGCTAATGTTTTTCGAAAATGTCAAGGTCATTTAATTTTTTTTTCTGCTAACAGTTGAAAGGTAGTCATTTTCAGTACACATTGTGTTGGGTTTTGAACTACCTTGGCCAATATTAAAAAAAATTGAATTTCAGGTCAAGGTCATGTCACTGTTTATATGTTTGCTGTTATTAGACAACTATATTGAAGTTGAGGCCAAGGTTCTGACTGGCATTTTATTGCTGTCATCAAATGGAAACTATGCTATATGCAATAAATCTCGGAATATACAACACTCTGAAATCATATGGTTGAAAACGAGGCACCCATCTTTCTATTCGAGCACATGTTTATAACATTTCGAATGGACATCGATCCATTACAAGGTCAAAGTTAATACGTGAAATCTTTTGCATGCCCATACCAATCCTTGTGCCTATCATTCTGTCCGGGAATATCGGTGTTTAAAACATGTCAGGCTACGGCTAGCATATATAGTACACTGGTATAAACTCTTGCACTTGCACCAGTACCGCTTCCAATTCGATTAGAATTGTTAGCCAGGTATGCACTCCCTGGCAAGACTCAAAGCTTAAAATGCAGATTTCTGTTTAGAACCAAATTTAAATGGCATGTCTTTTCTGAAGGTATGTAAAGCTATGTACAGGGCAGCTACTCTAGGAAAAGATGGGGCGACTATTTTCGACTTTATGCCACTTACTTAAAATATAGTGGCTAATTTAATAAAATTCCTACAGTTGGAATTGAGTGTTGACCTCAGATGATAGCCTCAACGTCATCCGCATATCTAAACACAGCACATTTAACCACTACTCAGCATAGGAACTATGTCTACTGGATTAAACCATATTGTTGACCCAATTACTAGCCCAATAATATCTAATTCAAGCAGTCCTTTCAATTCAACGTACACCTTATTTCTCGTATTAAATGCAGCTCCCCTGAATTATGGATGTGTCAATGTTCAATGTGACTTGTTTTCCAATACCTGTGTTTACATCACGGTATTGGTGTTTTAACACCGACACCAGATCTGTTACCACTGCTACATTGATGCAACATTGATACCTTACTATTAGTACTATTAGACCCATAAGCTTTCTTCCCTCAAGGGACTGCATAATAATTACAATTTATATTGCCCGATTTCAATGTCTCTCCCATGTTGGTCGCACCACAATATACCATCATTTTCAAGCTAACATCACACACACAGTTGGCTGAACACAGTTAAAATTACTTACATAGGCTTTTAATTTCATACAATTCATTCATGTGGAAATGTTATTCGTATGTAAACTAGATCACTACATTTCTCTTCACTTTAGAATAGAACTTGTCCATCTTAAAATATATATGTTATTTGATACTTAATTCTCTTAAAGCAATACATTAATGTTAAACATTTTTTTTAATTTCATTGGATAATATTGTTTTAAATATATATACTTTAATATTGATTATATATATTTCAATACAATTTTCATGATGCGTTATATTTTTCGTGGTAATCATGCTCTCTTCCACAATCTCCATTTAAAATAATTTCTTTCCTATAACGTGGTTCATATTTTGTCTGTCTTGTGTTTTAGACTAACACTCTCCCCTTCTTTGAGCTTTGTGAATTGTTTTGATCATTTTTGCGCATTTTCGACTTCTCCTTCGAAACCGCCTGCCACAGCTTTGAAATTATTAATGTAGACTGGTCCTCTCTCAAGCTTGTTCATTTAATGACGATATCTCCATTTTTGTAGAAGTTATGATTTTTGTTTTTTATTATTTTTTGGATTTTTTCACTGTCCCATACGTTATATATGAGCTATGTATAATGCTTGTACTCCAGCAGACAACCGTATCAGTTGGAAGCTAGGCTTTCTCAGTACACATTGTCTGAAACTGGATGGGCAATATTTTCCGAAATGCTCAAGTTCAGGTTAAGCTAATTTCAAGGTTTACGCGTTTGCTGCTTTTATATGAGTGACACTGAACAGTGGGGTGGGAGGGACTAAAATACCTCCTCAAAATCTTCAAGGCCAGATCAGGGTCATCTCAAGGTCACATGTTGAATACATGTGTATTGGGATCAGTAGTTCACCTCTCCTTCAAGAACTTTTAAGGAAAGGTAAATGTCTTCTAAAGACCACAAGTCACCTTGTCATAATGTCTATACTTTGTCATTGTCAATTCAGTCACATGTGCAGCAAGCAAATAAAACAAAAATATCTAATATGGTAATAATGACAACATAATGTTCCGGCTTCAATTACCTGCTCACCCACATCACCAATTATACATATCCATGCATTACATACAAAAATACGTTTCTTCTTACGGGATATACCTTTCCGGTGACCATTGCCACAATTACTAAACTGTCATATATTCCACTTCTTTTATCCACCTAGTAACTGCCCTGTGCCTTTGTCAATTACAGCAGAGTTCCACCGACCGCAAGGTCGCTTGTTAGAATCATGTTTACAGTATACAGACTTGCTTCAGAAAACACAAAGAGCATTTGAGACAAAGTTCACTCCACAAAGCTCAAATCGGATGTTCCCCCCTGTGCATGTCAGAGGTGTACTGCACTACATGCTGGGAGTTTGTCATAAAGCAAGTTAACAATCTTTATATATTTTTTTGTTAAATAATTAAGCAAGTTTACAAACTAGCAAGTTGTATATAGCAAAATATTTCGAGCAGAAATTCAAAGCATCAAAATCACAGAATTTTTAGTAAATGTCCAAAATCCCCTCCGGTGTCGACTTTGCTTTGAGGGCTTATCATGTGAGTGATTGTCCATCGTCAGTGTTTTCTCCTGTGCATCGAAAGCTTATCAATGTGCTTATCAGTCCGTCTGCATCAATTCATAAAAAATACAAGCCTGATTGCTTTGATACTTGGTGTATGGTATGTGCCTCGAGTAGACCTCGCGTAGGTTTGTTCATTTTCAATTTTGGTTTATATTTTTGTCATTTTTGGTAAACAGTGTTACTTTCGACTTATTGTTGAAAACTTGCAAGTCAAACCATATGTCTTTCGATGCTTTGCACTTGGGTAACGCACACATTTGGTTAGGCTTTGGTTTAAATCCATGCATATTAATAACCTTATTTGCCAGATAATTCATCAAATTATAGGCATGACAGTTCCACTGATCTTATGAAGAACCACTCATTGGATTTTGATGAAACCTGGTACAATATGCAGACCTCATAAGTTTTGGGTAAAAACCCATGCATATTAATTAATTACCGAATTTGCACTAAGTATTATAAATTTCAGTAAAGCATAATACATTTCAACATTGTTTCCATGTTTTAATGGACATCTTAAATAGGCAAATATCAGTTACCAAGCTTGTTTGAAAGGCTAATTAATTTTTAATATGTCTCCAGCTAAGCTTTCTCTGATTACCGATTACTGATTTTTAGTAAAAAATGCATTAATTGCAAGCTTAATTACTTCCATATTTGGTATGGCTTGTTACATGCTGATAACAATTACAACTATACAAAATACCATGGCTGTGATTTAGATAAATAACCAAGGAAAATTACCATATAGAAGGTTATCAACTTTCAACTTTGCTTTGAGTAAGACATTCTACAAAGGCCATTCTACACATTTATAAAATTTGGCCACTTATGATCCTTTGTAATGTGCAGCCCTGATACGTTTAAAATGGAAAACTGTGCATGTTACTGATATATAACAGTGTTATATTAATCTACTTCGAGTTGAAGTGCCGTTCTTTTTTGGCAAAAAAAGTTGGTAGATGACCAATTGGTATATTTTTATTCTCAGGAGAAAGATTGTAATAGTTACAAGTTTTTCTAATAGGCTCGTCCTAATTTTGCAATAACTTAAAATACTTCCTGTATTTATTTCATGCTTCCACAAGCACACAGAAATCAAGTCTAAGGTTCCTTTGATTTTTAACTTCAAATATTGACGGTGTTTACGCATATTAACACCTAGTATATACATACCAAATGACATTGTATATGTGTCAAGTGTTACAATATCAAAAGACCATGAAAT